TGTTGGTACTGGCTGGTCAGAGGATGCAGAAGATTCTTCAATTTAATTGACCATATAAAATTTAGAAGCACACATTGTTTCTAACTCAAAGTGACTATATAAAATTTATGGCATCATTGAAGGTCCTGTAGGAAATAATTTGGGAGCCTATAATTCTTGCAACAGAACCATCTGGGGTATCCATAGAAGAAATGGAAATTACTTCTAATGCCTTGGAAGCCACATTCTTTGATATCGTGAGGATACATTGGCAACTATACTCAGTATATTGCTTGCCTGTTTTAATCAGAGGAAAGGTCAAACAAAGAAATTATTCACTTGAATATTAATAAGTTGGTTTCTCAGTGCGCATCTGCTTTAGTTGCCATTATTCGTATGGAGAGATAGTAGTGTAGAGTCATGGAAAAGTTTCCTTGTTCAAACCCAGTTCTAATGTGCTGTAGAATGATGAGCCAGTTCTTGGAATATCTTCGTGTTGTTGATTCTGTAATGCCTTGAATCTTTCCTTTGATGAACATCGTGAACAGCAGTAGGATATTTTATGTTGAAATATCAATGCATGTGTACAGAGAGCAAAGCTTTATTTTATCCACATCACATCTTGTTCGTTATAATCAAAAGCATGTAGTTTGGGAATTCTTCCAATCCTTTGATGAAACCAATAGTTAAGACATGATTCTTCTTACTTTTGATTTCTTGACAAAAAGATATTTCTTTTTTTTTTTTCTTTTCTTTGAATAGAATGGTTGGATTATTAGATGGAACTTTGTTTTGTCAGACCATCCAGAATATTTCTTTCCTACTAAACTACTGCCTGGATTAGATCAATGTGGATGTAAAAATGGATCAATGGAGGAAAATATGGGTTCTAGGCTGTGTTTCTTTTTTCATTACTACTTGTGTACACTGCATGCAAACCACAGAAATCCAGGTTTGAGAGAGCATTATTTAAACAAATAATAAGCTGTATTCTAAACTCATTTCTTTATACTTTAATGATACTGCGAGTAGAGCTTGGTTTATGTGCTGAGAGAAAACAAGTTTATGGAATCAAGCTTAATGCACATAGACACACACAATATATCCAAGGTATGTTAGTATAATCATCATAATGAGTTTTTTTTTTTTTTTTTCTTTTCCTTTTATTGAACTTCAGTGATGTCATATTATCAGCAAAATCTTGGATGATATGAGTTAATTGCATATTGGAACAATAGATATCATATGAAGTTAATTGATATTGGCAACATAGATATCTATGTTTGTAAATGAGCATTAGTTCAATTGATATGCAAATTTTTGCATGACCCTTTGTTTTGAGGCATTCTAGTAGGCAGGGATCTTGCCTTGATCGTATCACTTGGTGTACATACTTATATTCTTATTATTCAATGCTATGGCAGTTATTTCTTGCGCTCGTGTTGGCACTAATAGCAATGCATGGTTTGGGACGGCAGTGCTAGTAACAACATGAGGAATTTCCCCCTTAGTAGGGGCACTGTTGCTGGTATCCCAAAGGTTATGTGGGATTAGTGCTGCAATATATACTGATTATACAGTATGGTGCTTAAAGAGTCTGCAACGAGACTTTTACTGTTCCTGGCACTTGGAATTCCCGTTATATGTTTAGTTATGCTGTATAATCGGCCATGCACACCAGTTTCTGGAGAAGACTTTCAGTGCATGCCCATTTTATTTTTACCCAAGCAGCAAGTGTTTTTCTTGCCATCTATGTACTATAATTTCGATAACAGTGATGTCATTTCTCTAAGTGAAACTGCATACATATTAATCGCCATAATGGTTGTCTTGATGAGTCTCCTCTTGTGATTCCTATCAAAATGACCCTTTTCCCCTGCTAACACCAATAAACCTACACAGCGGTTCTTCAGAGATTTGGTTCGACAAGGGGGTGATTCAACTCAACAGATCCTTGTTGACACCGTCTTCGTTTTTTTATGATAAGAGAGGATGATGTCTCAGATGTTGAGACACATATTGCTGTGGGGAGGGGGCAATAAAGAAAGAAACGGAGACACAGGAGGGGGGAGGATTTTAAGTTAGGTGAAGCGTTAGGAAGGCTGATTTCTGGCTTCTGTGGTTGTGTACTTTTGGGGTTGGATCTGGAGTCACAGTTCTCAACAATTTGGCTCAAATCGGGATTGCATTAGGAATTGATGACACTACAACATTGTTGTGTGTCTCAGCTTTTGCAATTTGCTGGACGTCTTGGCTCGGGTGCTGTTTCTGAATATTTGTCAGGTCATTACTCGTTGGCTTTGATTAAGAATACACTATGTTGAAATGCAAAGGTTTCCTTTTTGCTGAAATATCAAAACCAGGACTGGAATTTTCTTTTAGCATACCTAACATAATCGGACCTTGTTACAGTTGAAATTCCTATACTTCATGATTTACTTGGATTAGGTTTCCTTATTCCTCTCTCTCTGTGTATAGGGATTTCTTTCATTTAAAAGTTATTTGAAAAATGATTAAAGAATTGTGTCATAGACGATGTTGTGAGTTTCTCATGTTTTTTTCTTCAATACTTTTCCTTCAAAAAAGTTTTGAACCTTTTATGCTCATGTCAGATGTGATATTCTTAGTTCTTACTGCATGGATGGGCTTTTTCCAATTCTATCTAAAATCATGTAATTGCAGATCTAAGACAATTCCACGGACAGTTTGGATTACTTACGGAATTAATCATGGTCTTCATATCCTCTCTAATGCACTCTCTTAATGGTACTCTCTATGTCTATGCTGCATGCGCTGCTGGAGTCTGCTATGGAATTATACTCTCTGATGGTTCCAATCGCCTCAGAGCTTTTGGGTTGAAACATTTTGGTATCATTTACAACTTGTTTGTGCGGAAATCCCATTGGTGCACTCCTTTTCTCGGCATTCTTGCTGGTTATGTATACGATGCGAAGCTGCCAAGCAGGAAGGTTCGACCTGCTTAGGTGCCGAGTGCTTCAGGCCACCTTCCAGATTCTAGCCGGCGTCTGTGGACTAGAACCATCTGAGCCACAATTTGACTATTAGAATACGACCAGTTTACCAAATGCTTTATGCTGGTGGTTCTTTTCGTCTGCCTCAAACATCAGCCCCTGATTGTCGATAATAATATTTATCGTCCAGTAGAGGCATGCCTATTTGTACCGGTATGCTCTATTTATCTTATTTTTGCTTCTCAGTGGGTGCCTGCATTAGCCTATATATCGCAACATTCCTACATTACATGTAGTACAATTTGCCTGAGCTTGAATATCTGTAGTTGTTGTAACTTCTTAAAACAATCGCCAAGCTGCGGGATACATAGTGAAATGATGCTGTATTGCCTGTAAGGATAAGGAATGCTGTATTTCTTCTGTAATCATATCTGAAGATGCTTTATTATAATCTGGGGAACAGTGTGTAATATTCTGAACTATAATGGAGTTGATCAATAAGAGCTTCCTTCTATTATTTCTAGATTTGTTTCTTCACTTCGTTGGCTTTGAAATGTATACCTCCTGTATGTTAACTTTTCCAACCCTATTATATTCTACTATCCTATCTTAAAAATAAAAAACATGTTGTTCTAATATTGTTCAAAATCCAATCAAATTCTATTCAACTAAAACATTTACTAATTACCTTTCTTAATAACAATTATAAATTAACAAAAAAAACTTTCACCACCCAAGCAACAGTGCCCATCAGCAACCACCATTAGTTGCCAGTCGTCGTCCCTGGAATGACGCATGATCAGTCAGATCTGACCGATTGTGCATGATATGTTCATTTTCGACCAAATCTATTATGGATCTAGCTGAAAACGGCTAGATCTACGGGAAAAATTCTAGCCGTCAACGATGGCTAAGATATACTGTTGTCAACAACGATCTGTGCCATGTAGATCTAACCGGAACAGCCAGATGGCACATACCGCCAATCCAGTAGTTCGTGCATATTCTGGTGACTTCGACAGTGGTGGTAGCCGTCGGCAATCAGTTGGGTGAGGATGTTACTGTTAATTTATAAACTTTTATATGGGGTGTGTTTAGCTAAATTAACAAATATTAGGGGTTAAAGTAAACTAAATATTTTCAAAAAATATAAAACATATTCTCAGATCTTATCTTATTGATTAAATTATATCCTACCATTTCTAGAATATATTTAAAAGGTGGCACAAACGGATGGATTTGAGTTGCTTGCCCATATACTTTCTTGGAAAACTATCCAGAAAAATAATTTATCAGTAAAATTAGTTGATGCATCCGAAGAGTTCAGATAGAGTAGCTCCAGTCAAATGTATAATGGCACATAAAAGTGAACTGCTTCTTTATGCTTTAAATTTTGGTCAAAATCTTTGGCTGCTAATATCCAAACCAAAAGTGAATAAAAGGTTTCAAACTTCAATATGACAGAAAGAAAAGAAAAGGATTCACTGATCTCATAATTCATATTCATATGAACACCTACCAATACAATTTTCTGAGTATTTTCTCAAAACAGAATAGATACAATGGTATCTATATTTGCTACATATTTGTATAAAACCTAACACAATAGTTATCTCCTCAACAAGCTAGACACTGAATACTATAGTGCTTTCTTGTCTATTAAGAAAGAAAGAAAGAAATTAGTAGCATACAAAAAAGTAGTAGGAGACAGCCTGATTACTGAAACGACCCTTGCTGCTAAAGTATGGCTTTAACTTGACCCCACACTAAAAAAAAAAAAAAAAACAGATCAAATAACTCTTCTTTGCAAACATGCTGGTGGAAGAACCCTAAAAACCCATCTCTCACCATTACAATTTAGAAGGAAAAATTTTATTCGCCCCCTTTATTTGGCTAAACACATAAACTGTAGAATTCCCTTTTGAAATTTTGAAAATTGTCACAAACCCAGATAAAATTTAATGTGAATAAGCAAAATTAAGGGAAAGTGAATAAAATTTGCCCCTATGAATCAAGTTTGATCAAAAAATGAAAAATGAAGGCAACCTTTTATGGGGTTTGAGATCTTGAAACATGGTATCCCATCTGATTTCTAACTCCAGTTGACCAATATCCATCATCATCACCATCAAATTTCTCTTCCTTTTGGTAATCAAGACACTGGACTTGAAAAACTATAATTCTCTGAGGTCCAGAGACACCGTGGGGCTTCCATTGTGGAGCACAACTCCTTGTGTTAGCCATGATCAGCTTCTGTTCCTCTTCAACATGCACCTCTCCATCTTGTTGCATAACCAGCAGGCACGGAACATAACAAGAGCTGAAGAATGATGATGATGGACGCTTCACCATGAACCCAAGTTCTCAAATATTTGGCAAGACTTCTCTTTGTCCTCTTGATTGCAAAAAGAAGTCTTGACACTGGTTTGGAGTTGGGCTCCTTTCTTTTTCTTGCAAGTTGAGAATTTCCAGTCTGTGTTTGGCTATCGAGACCCCATGCTTTGAAGAAATTCATGGTTGAAGTAGCTATGTCTTCTTCTTCAAGCTCATATGTGCAAAAGAAGGCCATACCATACACAAGAGATGGCTCAAGGCTACTCTTTGATAGCATGAATACCAATCCATCATTTCAGTGATTTGAATGAATGTGGATTTGTGTAATATCTCCTTAAAGCTTGACACATACATGCACATATTATAAAGTATGAAGGGAAGAAATGGTAAAAAAAGAAAAAAGGAATATATATATAATATATATATATATATATATATATATATATATATATATATATAACCTCTGAAAAATGTCTTGTATTGATGATATTTTAACAACACAAGAGAAAATATCGGTACACAAACTTATTACGACACCAATGTTATGGTCACAACAAATATCATATCGTCTATCTCATCATTACACTAAACTATGATACGGAATAAATAGATCAGAATATCTTTTATAACACAAAAATACAATCACTTTTTGTAAATAATCTTTAAAAGTTATAATCCAAATTAAAAAAAAAAAAAAGAAACGTAATCAATAAAAATCTTCGACTTAATCATCATTAGGATACTAACGATGTGACAGTGTGATGATAGGTGATGACGGGTATGCAAGGTGTTCACAATGAGATTTTTGGGTTTTGATTTCTTGAAATTGAATATTTATAAGGTGGTTGAATCTTGAGAGGGATAAAGAAAAAGAGAGAAGAAGCATGTGGTGTGGGGAGTGCAAAATGGGGTTAAAGCTAAAGAGATCAAACATCAAGGAGTGGTCAGCAAGAATTTTGTTTGTGGAAATGAATTGTATTGCATTTCATTGTTTGCCATTAATCACGGCATGGGAAAAGAGTAAATGGTGTAGGGACGAACCATCACTCACTTTAATTGTGTTTTGGGTGTTAAGGGGGTAAAGTGAAAAGAAATCAAACTAAAGATAGGGATTTAGTTTTTGGTCATATATATGAAAGCAACTCTCTTGAATCATTGCACAACAATGAATGAATGAATGATATGAAATGATTTCACATATTATCTCTCTTTTTTTTTTTTTTTTAAAAAAAAAACTTTAGGTAAAAATCTATATTTAGTAATTACTTTGATTTTGATCTAAAACTACTTTAGTAACGAGTGGGCAATAGGACTCTTGGTGCATGATCATTAGGTCATTGAGTTTCGAGTCTCTCCGGGTGTTAATAGAGCTACTGGAGTTTTGTTTGATAGTTTCCGAGTCTCAGAGAATTAATTAAACATACAAGAAGCTAGCTCGGATACCCCCAATCATTGAAAAAAAAAAAAAAAAAAACCTTGAAAGATATGTTTGGTTTGAAAAATGCTTTCTTGGAGGTAACGTTTATTTCAATAATTTAACTGACAACCTGAATGTTCTCCACTATTCTATACTTATAATTTTAAATAAGCCTGTCTGGATACACTCTGCACAAAACAAATAATTAATATCACAGTTCATGCATGTCTTACAGAATCTAATGAATGAATGTGAAGGCAATTATTGCTGCCAAAATTTTGCATTATTTTTATGCTCCCTGAAATCTTACTCCATTCATTAATCTGTAAATTAATATGTGTCAGTGCATAGATTCAATGACATAAATCTGTCTTTGTTAAGAGTACTAATACAATAATGAATGAATCTTTTGAGCCCCATCTTCATACACATGGCCTGGGCCTTATAATGTGAATCTTTTGAGCCCCTTTGTATGATAAGGGAAGCAATTTTTAGTCCCCATCTTTAATTTTAGTGAGGATATAACTGTAATAAAAAATTATTATTATTATTATTATTTTTATAACTAGGTATTTGGATCAGTTTGTACATACTTTAACTAATTTTCAGGATTCATTAAACACCCTACAAGCTCAATGTTCCAAGTAAGCTACAAATGTGATAGGTAGTTCTAAGATAATTTTTAGGACCCACTGAAGATCCTACAAGTTCAATATTTCAAGTAAGTTACAAATGTGGTAAGTGATCCTAAGATAGTTTGAACCAAAAAAGTCAATAAAATGAGCAAACCTTCTTGACTACTAGACCAACCCCTTTAAGGGTTATTAAAAAAAAAATGATTCTTCTTTCCTCCATACTTTTAGGTTGTGAATCAACATGGAAATGAGAATCTTATTCCCCCATCCCATGTTTGATTTTATTAATTTAGTGTGTAAAAAGACTCTTATTCCTTAAAGAAGTGTGAAGGAGTAGCATTGCTCAAAAATTTGGGAGGAATGCCATACATTACCAATAATGGGATGATAAAATGTTTATTTTAACACTCTTTACATTTTAATTTTCCATTTTACCCCTTAGAAAATTAATTAAAAAATTTATTACTTTATTAAAATATTAATAATTAACATAATGAAACATATTTACTGTTTTGCCACCGCCGGTGCCATTGTTGGAAACAGCCACTAACCGTCAGTAAAGTCATTAGTGGTAGATTTCCTTCTAATATCCATTTCTTTACCACCAATTTATTACATTTGTTTTTACTCCACACAAAATATTTACTTAATATGCTTTATTTATCTTTTAAAATATTTCTCTGTACCTCATTTTATATCTAAAATACCCTTATAATATTTGAAGTTAAACCTCTTTTCTAAAAGATGATTAGTTAGGCGGTTAAATGATATTTTCACCCCAATCTAAGGTGAAGGACATTTTTCGAATTCAAGCATTAAAACTTAACCATCAGAGGGCAATCTTATCAATTCATAATGGTAGATTGGGTTTTTTGTCTTCATAATGTTATATATGGAAGGTGAATTGACAAGATTACCCTTTCACAATTAAATTTTAATGCATAAATTCAAAAAATGAGGATAATTTGAGTGTTTGGAACCAGGGGGAAAAGTTTCCTTTCATGGTAGTTAGGGAGTTAAAATGTTAGTCAGCCTCAGTTAGTCTTTTTTTTTAAATGATTGGAGGTGTTCGAGCCAATTTACATGCACCCCAAATGATTCCCTTAAGACCTTGAAACTACTGGTCGGGTAAAAATTATAGTGGTCACCTTTATTAAAAACCGAAGAAGGACTCAAATTTAAGATCTCTTAAATAATACATCTAACCAGCCTTAATTAGACTTTTAATCTTCTATTATGTTTATCTTCAATATCTAAGTTTTCTCTTTCCGAAAATAAATTTTCATTGAATAACAACTGATGGATATTCAAGGGAGAACGACCTTTTCCCACCCAAGGTTTGGCGAAAAGGTTTGGTGAAACAATACTTTCCCACCCATCAAGTTTCAAAATGACACTTTCTCACCCATTGTTATATTCCGTTAGGAAAATCCGTTATCAAGAAGAATGGGTAAGTAAGTGGAATGGATAGGCTTAAATCCATCAAGTTTCAAAGATTCAGAGAGATGTTTGGGTCTGGTATTAGGATGCAGCAAGTAGAATGGGTATGCTTAAATAAAATTGACCATCCTACCCTTCTTTAGAACAAAATTTCTTAACATAATATAACGGTAGGTGGAAAGTGTCATTTTGAAACTTTGGTGGGGAAATGCCGATATTCAATAGGTAGTTTTGATGGGGTATAAGGACAATGTGATGTACATAAGAAGAAATTGGAATTTACTTTTAGACTTCACAAACTGCCACGCCTATTGTTAGCTATGGCTATTTGAAAAGAGAACACCACAATAATTCTGCACAAATACGCAACTTAGACAAATAAATTACGTAATTAATTAAAACTTTGCTCAATGAAGTGGTGATTGGTCCATTTGTGCACATGTTGGTATCTCACAATTGATTTTGTCTGCCAACTCAATCACACTGACACGTGCATGGATATATTTTAATTTCATCTCTTTATCAATCTAATCCATAAATCATGTGAACTTCTTCTGGGAACAAGGAATCAATCCACGTTTAAAACTTGGGATTTGAATTTTGGAGTAGAGTAGAGTCCAGAAAGAGATTGTGTTGTGTTCTTGTATGTTACACTATTCTGGTTAATTATTATGTTATCTGATATTTAGATTAAAAAATATGTTCTGTATTTGTTTATTTATTGGGATTATTATTCTAAAAATTAATCCAAATCAAATAACTTTTTTTTTTTTTTTTTCTAAAAATGAAAAGAGATGGGAATTTGTTTTCAGATTATTCAACTCAAAAGTATTTTTTTATTCAACTCTATTTAGCTCAAAACATTTTTTTTTTCTTTTTCTCCTTCTCATTTTTCTTTCCTTCCAATTTGAAGATCAATCCACCTAAGACCACTGTCGCCTGTCAGCAACCATCAACCGTCAACGCAGACAAAATGACAATCCAGCCAGTTATGCATAGATCTGGCTAAAAACAGCCAAATCTACGACCAGATTTTGGCTGCAATCTGGCTATCTGGCTGTTAAAGAGGACCAGATCTCTAGCCGTAGATTTGGTCGTCAACAACTAGATCTTTGGCCATAGATCTGACTGTTGTCAGCCATATCGATGCATGATCGGCCAAATCTAACAGGTTGTGTGTCGTTCCAGTGATTGTCGGCTACCATTCGACGGTGGTGGTTGGTGGCCAGTTGTCCTCTTGGGTGGTTATGGTGCTTTTTTTAATTTTTAAACTTTTATTATGGGGTTGTTTAGCTAAATAACAAATATAGGAAAAATAATAATGAATATTTTCAGAAAATATACCAAACAACTATTCTGTCTTAAAAACCTCTTTAAAAAAATGTACCAAATAATTATTACAATATTTTATCCAACTCTGATATAATTTCAAATATTTTACTAAGCGCATTTTCAAAATCTAATCCTATTCGATTTAATCTAACTCAACTCAACTTAAAACACTTTTTCAGAATAACATTTTTCAAATAATCTACCAAATAGGCCCACAACATTTTTAGAAGAAATATATAGATATTTGTCTTTTCTTTTTGGGGTCACTAAAGAAATCCCCACAACTATTTTCTTATTAGATACATAACTTTATTCATGTAAATTTCAAATTTGTATAATTACTTGTAAGGTATATATAGATAAACAAATGAAGTCTAAATTTGTCTAGGTCAATAGCTGGGCACACACCTCAACTAATTTTCGAGGTCCATTGAACACCTTATAGGTTTAAAA